TGTGAGAGGAACTTCGTTTCATTTATCGGTATGGGAGAGTGAGTGAGTGTGCGTGTGTTGGTGTGCATATTGGTTAAGGTCGTTATCACGTTTATGCGTGAGACATAAAGATAATAAAACCCATGTACTTTTTTGCGTCTTCTTCTTCGCAGCGTTGTTGTGCAAGACACCCCTTGAGGTATGCTGCATTTTTTTTTTTGGTATTTACTTTTCAGTATTACAAAACCATTGGTGTTCCTCAGACAGGGGAACAAAAAAAAAAAAAAAAAAAACAGAGAGAGAGAAGGAGAGAGGGAGAGAGAGATCATATATTATGAATATATGTAAATTAATGAGGATGTTTTTTCTTCTTCGCCTGCCTTGCCAAGCAGTGGAAGAGAGTGTGGATGCCCACCACCAGGGGATTTAAGTGATTAAGAGTTTCAATAAATATATATTTCTTTTCAATCTACTCAATATGGATAATAATATAAAAAATTTCGAAGAGGAAAGAGAAAAACATTTACATCGAAAATGGTAACCTTTAATTGAGAACAGCTGATGAGCTGTGGAGTACTACAAATTAAATACAAAATCTGGTGTATACTTTTAGGGTGAAACTAAAACATTTGTGATTCAAGACACCCAAGACTAGAGAGATTCTAAATAATGAAAATGTGAATTTTTTATACCCTACACAATATTATGAAGGGTATACGAACTTTGTGATTCCGTTTGTAACTTCGCGAAATTCTCATGTCAGACCCAAGAAAATAGATATAGAGCTGTCCGTTTGTTTGTCTGGCTGTTGTAATCACGATATCTTTCCAACGAATTAAGATAGAAGGCTAAAATTTTGCAGACTTGTGTATTTTGCTAGCAGACATCTTAAGTTCGTAAATGAGCCATGTGGGACTACGTTGTCGTATAGCCCCCATATAACGATAACTTCCAAGATTAGGTATTTTGACGATTTAAGGCGGTCTTATATATCAGAATTGTTTCAAATTTCGTATTTGAAAGTCCTAATGGGTACTACAACCCATGAGAAAAAAATTGTGATGCAAAAAAAAAAAATTGTTATGCAGGCCCACGTCGTCTTCGTATAGCCCCCATATAAGGATACCTTCCAAGATTCGGTATTTTAATGATTTTAGCAACATTTTTTTGCCGGAATTGTTTCTAATATCGTATTTGAGGGTCCTAATGGGTACTTCAACCCATGAAACACCAGTAAAGAAAGTCTTAAAGTCGGGCGGGGCCGACTTTATGATACCCTACACCACTTTTCTAATTTAGTAGAGTTCCGCATAACAATTAAAAGTTTTTATGGGAGAATTCGATCATAAACGATATGATTATAATTATAATTTAAAGTTCAAAGCACTAAATATGCCGAAGCATTTGTATCTTTTAAATTCGGACTTATATTGCGCATTTGGTGCACAATTAATTAGAAAACGGATCAAAATATATATATGGGAGCTATATTCATATCGGAACCGATCTCGATAAAATTCGGCAAAAATATTTCTGAGCTGTATTTGATATATGTCCCTGAATATCGTTGTTACGGATTGCATATTACGGCTGTGGGTAACAAATATAACAAATCGGATGAACAATATATGTGGAAGCTGTAGCTATATCTGCGCCGATCTTCACCAAATTTCACATACTAGCTTCTAGACTCAATTCGGTCGTAAGTGCCAAATTCCATCCCATTTGGACAAATATTAGACGTTTGGTGCACAATAAAAGGTAAATCGGACGAAGTTATATATGGGAGCTGATATCCAAATCTGAACCGATCTCGATAAAATTTAACAAATGTATTTCTGAGCTGTATTTGCTATTTTTTCCCAAAGATCGTTGTTACAGAGTCCATATTACGGCTGCGCAGGACAAAAATAACAAATCGGATGAAAACTATATATGGGAGCTATACCTATATCTGAACGGATTTCGATCAAAATTGGCATATTGATTTTCAGGCCTAATTTGGTTGTATGAGCAAAATTCCATCCCATTTGGACAAATATTAGACGTTTGGTGCACAATAAAAGGCAAATCGGACGAAGATATATATGGGAGCTATATCTAAATTTTGACCGATAATCTCCAATTTCAATAGGGATCGTCCTTGGGCCAAACAAATGATTAGTGCAAAATTTCATTTGGATAGGGCAATAAATGCGAACTGTTCTTTGTTTACAAAAATACATGGACAGACGGACGGGCGGACATGCATAAATCGACTCAAAATGTGATTCTATACAGATCATCAAAAGGAACTATGGGTCTAGCTCGTTTCCTTTCGACTGTTACAAGCAAATGCACAAAGACATAATACCCTGACCGCCATGTGGTGTAGGGTATAAAAAAATGTTATGCAGGCCCACGTCGTCTTCGTACAGCCCCCATATAACGGTAGCTCCCTATATTCGGTATTTTTATAATTTCAGAGACATTAATTACAGGCATCGTTTTAAATTTCGTATTTGAAGATTTTAATGGGTACTACAGCCTTTGACAAAAAATTACTCATGCAGGTCCATGTCTTCGTAAAGTTCTCATCAGTATCTCCCAATATTCGGTATTTTGATGATTTTAGCAACATTATTCACCGGAATTGTTTCAAATTTCTTATTTCAAGTTCGTAAGGGATACTACAACCTATGGAAAATTTTAAAATAGCCTATGCAGGTCGACGTCTTCATATAGCCCACACAAAACGGTACCTCCCTTAATTTCATCGGAATTGTTTCAAATTTCGTATTTGAAGTTCGGAATCGGTACTAGCGACAAAAAACATACTTATGCAGGTCCTCAACCTCCCTCACCCTCCCACGGTACCTCCCTTAATTTCATAGGAATTGTTTCAAATTTCGTATTTGAAGTTCGGAATCGGTATTACAGCCTATGACAAAAAATTACTTATGGAGGTCCTCATATTCGTATATCCCCCCATAAAACGATGTTTAGCCGGTATTTTTCCATGAATTTTTATACCCTTAGTCAAATGGCTAGAGAGGTTATATATCATTTGATACGGTCAAAATGTGCCTAGTCGAAATTATGGTTTTAATGGTTTTTGGTTCTTTTTGGAGTCGATCTAGCGATGTACGTCTGTCTGTCTGGCTGGTGCGCACGATAATGAGAAAGGAGTATCCGATTTGGCCCAAACTTGGTACATTGTAATATTTTTGTCAAACTAATAGCATGTTCACACGGTAAATTGAATGACGTTGTTTGCTCTCAGAATCACGTACACGAACTAACCTGTTCCCACGATACGTTCGTAGTTACATCTGACAACTTCATTTATGGTTATACACAATTTTTCGTTTTTTTTTTAATTTAAAGAAAAATTATTAAAAATGGCTCAATTCGAAAAAAAATGTGAGTAAAAATACTAACATAACGAAGAATAATGTTTTATTGTTTTAGGTATCCGAAAAACTCCCAACAAATGGAGTATAATAAGTGAACGGGCTTTGTTGGAAGTGTGGGGATTATTTATGAGCCAGCTACGTGGATGTCGAAAAAATAGCCACATTCTTCAAGAAATGGCATCCGAACTCGGGAAACATGGGTTTTTGTATACATCCCACGAAATAAAAACCAAGATGCACAACATGGCTGCGAGATTTAGGTATGTTTTTGAACATTTCAATTTGCATGAAGTTTCATTGCCTCCGACTTCGATCATGGTGGGAGGAGCTTATGCGGATGTGTTTGTTTGCATCAAAATTCGTTCGATATTATCCAAGGATAGGTACAATATTCTCGGAACTTGTCATTTTAAGTTAAGAATGACAGAAAGTTTGTCTTCCAACACTCTTGTTGTAGATACATATTACAAGATGATAGCTTCTTTACTTTTGAATATTTACAATCTGTAAAGTATGTTTTTATTTACTTTATAAAAACCATGTTTTTTTTATAGGAAGGAAAAGCGCCTAGTTGGTACAACCGGAGGTTCACCATCAGATTGGGAGCTATATAAAGAAATGGAAATGTTGCTAGCACCTTGCAAGACCTACAATACTGAGTTCCTTGTTTTGGACAGTGTCAATGGTAAAAATCAAATTAATAAAAAATATATATTTGTTATTCTCACGTTGTATATTGCACAGATATTGATGCCATATTGACATGCGAAATGTCCAACTCCCCACCCTCTTCACCAATCATTCCTAGTTCCTCTTCACAATTACCTATTGACCTATCGTCGGAATTACCATTCACATCATCATCGAAAAAGAGAAAAAGGGAAATAGAGCATGCTGAAAAGGTGGAAAGAAAAATTGATATTTTAATAGAGATAGAACAAAGAAAGGAGGCTATAGAAGAGAAGAAAGAGGCTTTGTTAAGAAGCTTTGTGGAAAGGGAAGCGGAAGTACAAAAGGCTTTGGTAGATTTTTTAAGAAATGCTTAAAATTGAATATATATTTATGATATGTAACGACTTTTCTTTTAAACTGCTTATATTTCCTTTAATTATAGTTTGCTCTTACTATATTAATTAAATACTTTGATTAGTTTTAATTTTTATCGTTTCAATGTTATACATTTTATTTATCATTCAATGTAATATTTGTTTTTTTCTAAAATTAAAAATATATACAAAAATTATTTTGAGTATGTATGGGCGGAATGCTAGTAGATATGAAAAAAAAAAAAAAAAAAAAAAAAAAAAAAATATATATATATATATATATATATATATATATATATATATATATAATTTGTTTAATTGTTTTTGAAAATGAAAAAAAGGTATGTGTATATATATATATATATATATTCATTATGTTTCATTAATATAGTTTATGTTATTTTTAGATAACTATGTACATATTTAAGCTGCATTTTGAAGAATTTGTTTAATTGTTTTTGAAAATAAAAGAAAGGTGTATAAATAAATATATATATATATATATATATATATATATATATATATATATATATATATATATATATATATATATATATATATATATTTATTTATACACCTTTCTTTTATTTTCAAAAACAATTAAACAAATTCTTCAAAATGCAGCTTAAATATGTACATAGTTATCTAAAAATAACATAAACTATATTAATGAAACATAATGAATTCTGACGAAATAAATGAAAAATGAAAATGAATAATACTAATATACTAATTTATATCTTGCAAATTACAGACAGTTTCTCCAGAAGGGAACGTATATTCTTCCTCCACATTTAAAAATGAATTAGCTTCATCAATATTGTACAAGTTATCCTCATCGTTACAACAATTTTTTTGCGCTTAAAAAATAGTAAAGAATATATATTTAAAAAATGAATGCCTACATATATTTAATGTGCTTATGTCAACTCTTGTTTGACAATAGCATTTTACTAAGAACAATAATACGTACATAAATATATTGAAATAGCATTTCGTATTTCTTCGCCATTATGGCCGCTGCTTTGATCTGCAAGAATTATTATTTCTTCAGGATAGGATCTATTTGCCTCAACTGATTGTAATGCTTTCAACCACTTGTCGTTAACAACATCATTGTGCTCGCTGAGAAAATTATGAAGAGCACAACAAGATAATATGACTGCATTGGCATACTTTAGAGCATTATCTATGCCTTTTCCGATTCGTCGGAAACGTGCCTTAAGGTGGCCAAAGGCATTTTCAACTACTCTGCGTGATTTTGACAATGCGTAATTAAAGCATTTTTGCTCGAGATTTTGTGATAATTGAAATGGATAAGGTTTCATCAACTTGTCGCTTAATTTGAATGCCGAATCGCCGATTATAAGGGCAGGAACCTCAACGCCCAAAATATTTCGCTTTACTTCCTTTAAATGACTGCATTCGTTAAGCTGCTGTTTGAGGGAAGAACCTTCAAAGATCTGAGAATCGTTGCAACGTCCTGGACTCCCACAACTAACATAAATGAAACGACATCTAAAATAAAAAAAGCATGTAGAAAGCAGTTATAAAAGGATAAAAGTCGGACCGGCAGACTTTATGATACGTTACAATACTGTTGTTATGTGCACCAAATATAATAGGTTTATTTTTGGCTTAATTCGGCCACTTGTGTCCAATTTCATCCCATTTGATGCACACTAAACCTGAAGTCTGATGAAGACCCATGAGAAGTAGGCGTCTATCTCACGACACAATACCCTGCACCATAGTGGGGCGTAGGATATAAAAAGTAAAGAAAATGTAAAAGTTAGTACTTACCTCGCATCTACCAATGCAAGGAGTACGACTGAGTACCATCCCTTGTAGTTGTAGTAATCTGTAGCGTCTTCCTTGGATGGATGAACCTCAATGTGGCAACCGTCTGCAAACGTTAACATAATAATAATAATAATAATTTAAATACAACTTTTCAAAACTCACCCAGAGCACCTATACATTGCGGAAACCCTAGTATTTCAAATTCTTGACAGAGTACTTCTATCTTTTCTCTTGTTAAGGGGAAATTTTTTAAATAAATTGGAGCAAGAATTCTCCAGACCTCATTACAAAACTGCAAGAGTATTTTACACACTGTACTTTTTCCAACTCCAAACATGTTTGCTATTGTGCGGTACTCGGCAGAAGATCCCAAGGTATATAAACCTATTGCAACTCTTTTTTCCAATGGTATTGCCTCTCGCATATTTGTATTAGATTTTTGTAGCCCATTTAGCAATTCACACAATTTATTGAAAACCTCTCTGCTGACCCGAAAGTTATTTTTGAAGCATTTCTCATCTGCTTTTTGGCAATCTATTTCCCAAAAGTATTGAGATCGAAACTGAAATGATTGCAAAAACTCAATGGTCAAATATTTACAATTCGCAGTTCTCTCAAGAAATACGGATTAATCATGTTCCGTTGTATCGGACAGACACACATTACCCTTTGCCAACACAATCGTTCCGATTCATACAATGTGTGGAATTCCAAGGCATTCACCAGAGTTAGCAGCTTCCTTACATCGCAACTGTCTTTTTCAAACAAAGTGAAAGACGCGAGCCTTCTTCGACTTATAATTAGTTTTTTCACAAATTTCTTTTTCTTCTCCATTGTACACTCCTATGAAAAAATAACTAATATAGGTTATATGAAAAACGCGTTTTTGTTCTCTCACATTTAATTTATCGTTTCCATTGAATTCACACACATTTTTATTAATTAAAAATTCTTCAATTACTTTCGCAACGGACACAATAATTTGTTTATTTTTTGACAAGCGGTTGACAAATATGACACATTTTCGATAAATGCTCTCATTTTTTAGTGATGGGACATATTTTTTCGTTGTTCTGAGAGTGATTTGATTTGAACAATGTAAAAATATGAGTGTTCGCTCAGGAAATTTTGTGTGGAGAATTAAGTAGTTTTTCCGTAGTTTAGGGCCAAACAACGAATAGAGAGCGAATCAAGTGCCGTGGAAACGCCACATAAGGTAGAGTTCGGAGATGGGCAACATTGGTCCACTCATTGTGGTACCTCCACCACAAAAGATCGAAATTTCCAAAAAATATATTATCTGCACAGAAAGAGAAATAATTATTCGATTTCGCTCCAACTTTGCAACTCCTAATATATTCGTCAGTTCTAGGTCAGGTGCGAAATGGAAAATATCGGTCCACTCCATCAAGTACCTTACCCACAAAGGTTTAAAATTTTGAATAATTACAACTCTTATAAAATGTGATGTAAGATTCCGATTGTCTTCATATTACACAAATCACAATATTTTTATTAACACGAGATCTGGTGTGAAGATGGGATATATCGGTCCACTACTTCTAGTACCTGCCCCACAAAAGGTAGAAATTTTCAAAAAAAAATTTTTTTCTGCACAGAAAGAGAACTTATAATTCGATTTCGCTCCAACTTTCCAAATCCTTATATTTTCGTCAGTTCTAGGTCAGGTGTGACAAAACCGGTCCACTTGATCAAATACCTCCCCTACAAAGGATTAATATTTTGAATAATTATAACTCTGAAGTAAGAGTCCGATTGTCTTGAAACTACACAAATCAGAATATTTTTATTAACCCCAGGTCTGGTGTGAAGATGGAATATAACGGTCCACGCCTTCTGGTATCTCCCCCACAAAGGGTCAAAATTTTGAGTAACCATAAAGCTCATAAAACTCGAAATTAACATCCGATTCCATTCAGACTTGGCACATCTCAATATTTCTATCAACACAAAATCTGTCATAGAGCCGGTAGAGATCGGACCACTTCTTCTGGTACCTCCCCTCCACATAGGGTCAAAGTTTTGAATAATCAAGATATTTATAAAATTCGAAATAAGCATCCGGTGGTCTTCATATCTCACGAATCGCATTATTTCCACTAGCACAAGATCTGCTTTGAAGATGGGATACATCAGTCCACACCACCCGGTACTTCCCCCACAAAGGTTCAATATTTTGAATATTCATGAAGCTCATAAAACTCGAAATTTACATCCGATTCCTTCCAGACTTGGTACATCTCAATATTTCCATCAACACAAAATCTGGCATAGAGCCGGTAGAGATCGGACCATTCCTTCAGATACTTCCCCTACATAGGGTCAAAGTTTTGAATAACCAAAATGTTTATAAAATTCGAAATAAGCATCCGGTAACCTTCATTTCTCACGCATCGTATTATTTTCACTAGCACAAGATCTGCTGTGAAGATGGGAAACATCAGTCCACTTCTTCCGGTAATTCCCCCACAAAGGGTAAAAATTTGGGTAACCATGAAGATCTTAAAACGCGAAATGAGCATCCGATTCCATTCAGACTTTGTACATCTCAATATTTCCATCAACACAAGATATGTTATAAAGATGGTAGAGATCGGAACATTTCTTCTGGTCCCTCCCCTACAAATGTTCAAAGTTTTGAATGACCAAAACGATTAGAAAAACTCGAAATAAGCATCCAAATCCATCCATCCATCTCCTAAAACGTCCCACACAAAATCTGTCATAGAGCCGGTAGAGATCGGACCACTTCTTCTGGTACCTCCCCTCTACATAGGGTCAAAGTTTTGAATAATCAAGATATTTATAAAATTCGAAATAAGCATCCGGTGGTCTTCATATCTCACGAATCGCATTATTTCCACTAGCACAAGATCTGCTTTGAAGATGGGATACATCAGTCCACACCACCCGGTACTTCCCCCACAAAGGGTCAATATTTTGAATATTCATGAAGCTCATAAAACTCGAAATTTACATCCGATTCCTTTCAGACTTGGTATATCTCAATATTTCCATCAACACAAAATCTGGCATAGAGCCGGCAGAGATCGGACCATTCCTTCAGATACTTCCCCTACATAGGGTCAAAGTTTTGAATAACCAAAATGTTTATAAAATTCGAAATAAGCATCCGGTAACCTTCATTTCTCACGCATCGTATTATTTTCACTAGCACAAGATCTGCTGTGAAGATGGGAAACATCAGTCCACTTCTTCCGGTAATTCCCCCACAAAGGGTAAAAATTTGGGTAACCATGAAGATCTTAAAACGCGAAATGAGCATCCGATTCCATTCAGACTTTGTACATCTCAATATTTCCATCAACACAAGATATGTTATAAAGATGGTAGAGATCGGAACATTTCTTCTGGTCCCTCCCCTACAAATGTTCAAAGTTTTGAATGACCAAAACGATTAGAAAAACTCGAAATAAGCATCCAAATCCATCCATCCATCTCCTAAAACGTCCCACACAATATTGGCCAACTGCTTCGGAAATCGGAAACTGAAATCTTGAAACATTTCTTAGTTGGAAAATTTGCAAAGAGCCATCCGAATTTGGCCAGTTTGAGGAATTCCTTATTTTGATGGTTTCAGTTTTTTTTTTTTTTTTTTTTTTTTAATAAAAACATTTAAAGTTCCCGTTGTGTTGCAATTCACCTTAAAATGCATAGATTGGCCCAATTCTTGCCATAACGAATTCAATGGCGAGCAAAAAAAATAAAATCGGAAAAACTTTTTGTGAAGCAACGTGTCATTGATTTCATTTTGCGGAATTTTTCCAAAGGTCTCTGTTGTCGTTGGTTGTTTTTTTTTTTTTTTTTTTTGATTTCCCCCTCCCCTCCATTGGCTCTTTCGGTCAGGGTACACTGCTGACCGATTGTTTGTTGAGCGAACGACTGACCAACCTATCAGATGATTTATGACCAGATTCCCATACACAAAATATGCGTATGATTTATGGCATGAAGAGTTTTGTTTGTTTTTGTTTTTTTTTTTTTTGCATTTGTATTGACATAACATTTTTACGGATGGGTATATTTTTGGAAGAACGGCACAACCTGTCATGAGAGTGAAAAAAAAAACAAAAAATGAAAAAAAAAAAAAACACACACAGCAAATGACCAAAAACCCCAAAACGGAAGAAATCTCTTCCAAACAATCTTTGCTATTCTCCTGTTTTTTTTTTTTTCGAAATTGCTGGGGTATTGTGTTTTTGGTTTCGCCGAAAGTAAACTGTGACCCATTTTAAGCGTTATCTATTCTTCGGTGCAAACAGAATTGTCCATTGAAATCAGCGACATGGAAAAGGAGTTGCCCGGCCGCCCAGTCCAGTGATGAGGTGGAAGGAACATCAATTGTGATAAGGGTTAGAGACGGTACTTTGGGGGGAAATGGGTGATTTTTGTCAGTGGCTGTCAGGGAATTTTGCGGTGATTTATATTTGGGGAAATGGTGGAAAAGGATTTTATTTTTTTTTTTAATATCCGAATTTTTTAGTGGTCAATGGAATAGATTTTTTTTCTGTGACACAAATGTTGGCATCACTCAAACTTACCCAAAAAAGGAATTAAAATTTTTTTGACATACCTAGAATGGAAAGAAAATAAGAAATTATTAGATATTTGTAAGGCAGGACAAGAGAACTAGAATAGGATATTCTTTTGGATTTTCAAAAAAAAAAAAAAAAAAAAAAAATTAAATAAATAAAATAAATAAATAAATAAATAAAATAAATAAATAAATAATAAAAAATTCAATAGAAGTCGAGGACAATTTCCCGAGGTTTTTTGATAATTAAATCAGAATTCAGAATCTTAAAAAAAATTTCCAGAGTTATTGAATTACAGAGAGAGATAAAAAACTACAACAAAGTCAAACGCCATAATTTTTACATTTCTTTTTAAATTTTATTAAATGAAAGCAAAAAATATCGGAAATAGCATCAAATTTCAGAATAATTTTAGATTTGTTCGAATTGGCCACTTTTGGCACGAATTATGGCCTTCAAACGACCAATGAAATTGTCACACGCTACCCGAATGTTGCTCTGCGGTATTTTGGGCCATTTCCGGCAAAGCGCTAGCTTGAGGTGATCGAAACTTTGGTATTTTTTGTTGCCAATCTTGCTTTCCAAAATACTCCAATCACAATAGTACAACGGATTGGTATCCGGAGATTTTGGTGGCCATTGTGCACTGGAAATGAGGTGAGAAACCTCATTTTGTATCCATTCTTTGGTGGAGCGTGCTGATAAGTCCGATGGTGCTGAGTCCTCTTGGAATGTCCAAGGTCTGCGGCCAAAATGTTTGCGTGCCAAAGCCTTGGACACCCTTCAGAATATTTTCGCGATAATATTTGGCATTTATTTTGATGCCATGGTCGATTAATTCGAGCAAAGAGCGACCATCGGTTGTTATGGCGGTCCACACCATCACCATGTTCGGCTCTTGAGTTCTGGTGGCCAACCGAAGGTGCACATTTTCAGCTGACCTCTTTGGCAAGTAAACACGATCATTTTGTTTGTTCGCAAACTGCCGGGCAACGAATATTTTCTCATTAAAAAGTATTAGTCGGTTTTGCCGAAAAATGTATACCCTCAGCCAAAATTCAATTATTTAAATTTATTTTGACATCTGTTATGGTTATTCAAATTTTTTGAACCTTTATGGAGTAGGTACCGAAGGAATGGGCCAATATTGTACACTTCGTAACGGACCTATATAAATATGATATAAATATTGCGAAGTGCCAGGTTTGGACTATATTCGCAGATATACATCATCTTCACAACAGATCTGAATAGAATCGGTTGTAAATTATGAGCTTTATGGATATGCACGATTTTGAACATTTTGTGGCGGAGGTACCAGAAGGAATATTCCGATCTCTACCATTTTTTTAACAGATCTTGAAATAATTGAAATATTGAAATGTTCCAAGTCTGAATAGAATCGGATATTAATTTCGCGTTTTATGAGCTTCGTGGATATTCAAAATGTTTACCCCTTGTGGGGGAGGTACCAGAAGGAGTGGACCAAGATATCCCATCTTCACAGCAGATCTTGTGTTGGTAGAAATAATAGGATGTGTGAAATATAAGAAGAACCGGATGCTTATTTCGAACTTTATATTCGTTTTGGTCATCCACAATTTTGACCCTTTGTGGGGGA